ACTTACCTATTTCATTACAATTTAATGATTCACCTCAGCACTTTTACTTTTCTAAAACAGCTTTCAATCCCTTGTAAACGTTGTACTTACCTCAATATTGGTTGGTTATCGTATGCCGACAACCACGGGATGAAAACGAAACGAAGTCGATTTTCCCGCTCAACCTGGAGGACAATTGTACAATTCAATAACTATACAGCCTAGTTCAGACAATGTGTATTTATATATATCGAATATTTAACTGTTGAAACATTATTAACTTGTAGACAATCTACGATTTGATATTATATCATACTTGATCGTGCCTGTAAAAATGGGATGCATTTTCATGTAAATTTATATGTTTATATGAGAATATACATTATTATTATTCTAACGCTGTCCGTTGGAACTGGAGCTCGTAGACGTAGATATTTAGGAATGATTTCATTTTTTAATCATCGAATGTTAAAAATACGGTGATTTTCATATCTTCCTTCAGTTTGTGAAATTCGAGTGAGTTTATTGATAAGTCTTCGTACAGGAATACCATAAGTCATGTTAATATATGTGTAAAACTTCGGCACTGTGGTATCAAGTAATTCCATATTAGTTTGATTATTAAATTTGAGCGGAGCGCAATCCAAAGGCTTTGTTACTTTTTCGCGTGTTATTTCTCAATTCTTTTTTTAGTCCACAGGCGTTTTTTTAATAGGTCTCTCGACGATAGTATTAAATATTTAGTTCTATTCTTACATAGAATATAAATTTTACGGTTAAAATTATCCGTTATAGATAGTGTCCATCTAAGTGCTACTGTTATAGCATCTTCGCATTTAGAGTATTTTTATAGGGTATCTTAATATCCTATCTCAATATTTTTATTCGTCTAAACTGTTAATTCCATACAGAACTAGACAGTTTAAATCCCCAACACTCTAAAACGGACCTTACAGACACATTGCTCATTCTCTTATAATTAAGAATTTTAACTTAGTACTAAATGCCAATGGTCCAAACTAAGCGTCTAACTCCACTGACTGCGGCGAAGTTTAAGAATAGGGTCCCAAAACCTTCAACGCTCAAATGACCTTGAACGCATGCTAGTCGTTGGCTAACGGTTCCTGTCATTATCATAGCTGAAATATCAACCCTATTCATCAAATAAGGAGCAAGTTTCACCCAGATAACACTTTTATTACTGTTTGGACAATGTGTTAACATCTCGTTAGGGTTAGGATAGGGGTTAAGGCGAGTATTGTGGTTAGGGTTAGGTTTAGGGTTAGTGTTAGGGTTTAGTGTTAGGGTTTAGGGTTAGAATTAGGGTTAGGGTAGCGAATAGGAATAGATTTTTCGTTTATTTCAAGTACTTTTGTTATCCTTATTTCCCTTGTATGTAGTCGCCAATGCTCTTACTGGAACCATAGTAACTAAACCGAGGGCTGAGGAGAGGACTACACAGCAAGAGAAGAGAGATGAACCATTCCCAAAACAGCACACCTTCAGTCTCTTTGGTGAATACATCTACAGAAACTAGTCCAAATTAGCAACTGATACTCTTCATCGCAACTGGAACGTATTTTTAAGTCATATCAGAGAAATATAATCCGTTTAATGATTTTTTCATGCATTTTTGTGTAAATATACGTTAAATTTTATGCAAAATTCCTCCTATTTTCTTATTGGTCGGCTCAAGGTCATTGTGCGTTCGCATCTCTTGGGACTCCATTCTTAAACTTTGCCCTGTCTGCTTCACATCCCAGTAAAAAAATCAAACCAAACAGAATAAGTAGCCCTGCAGGAAGTGAGAGCACTACATCTGTTGATTTAACAACTACATATACGTCTGCTGCGGTAGACACGTCAAGTCCGGACATTAAACTCCCCTCACTTGCTTGCGTAGTAAACAACATCATGGATGGTATACACAGTGATACTACATGTAATGATCTAGGCCTCGTAGACACCTGCAAAACGTCTTGCGATAAGAATCACACAGCAAACATTCTTACTCCCATCACTAATCCAGTTTTTTGTTCTACACTTAGTTGTGAAGATAAATTCGAAGAACTATTTTCTATAATTAGGGGGCTTGAAGTTAAGATGTCAAAACTGGCACTGCCTAGTGAAACTGGCAGTAGTAGTACTTCACCTAGAAAGTTACCACAAACTGCAAACCTTACAAAGGAGGGAGGGTGGCGTTAGCTGATCAGTAGATATGGTGGTGGTCACTAAGGTGAATCGCCCCATTCTGCAGGAACAGCAATATACAAATTAAAGGCTCGAGATATTTCTGATTTTTATGAGGGCTTAGATCTTTATCTTGAAAAAGATAATAGTGAACGCCTTGACAGATAATGCTTCTACCTCTAAATATATACTATTCGCCCAGCCTATTGTTGAGATGCGACCATGTGGGATCTGCACAGATTTATGGGGCATCTTATGAATTAACTTGCTATCCATTGTCAGATCTTTAAATACCACTTCACAATATCTTGTCTCTTATTTTCTAATAACGTCTTTACTTGATTCTCATTATATTCCATTAAACCTAACATTTTATAGCTCTTTATGAATTTGATTCGACTTATTCTATTCCTATTCTCTGGAGGGTACGGTTGTGTACCAAATAGAAAAAAAGACATGAAATAAAGACAACTGGCTTGAAAATAATTGTATTAAAGCCAAAAGTGAACGCATGATAGTATAAAATATATTGGTTTCATTATACATTGCAAATGAACGTTGTCGGCCTAAGGATTAATTACTTCCCCATTCTGTTTTCTATATGTGTTTATTAATGATATATTTCACTCACTTAATCTATTACACTTTAATGTTACACCACAGCACTTTAATTTTTCTAAAACAGCTTCCAATTCCTTGTAAACGTTGTACTTACCTCAATATTGGTTGGTTATCGTATGCCTACAACCACGGGATGAAAACGAAACGAAGTCGATTTTCCCGCTCAACCTGGAGGACAATTGTACAATTCAATAACTATACAGCCTAGTTCAGACAATGTGTATTTATATATATATCAAATATTTAACTGTTGAGACATTATTAACTTGTAGACAATTTAAGATTTGACATTATATCATCCTTGATCGTGCCTGTAAAAATGGCATGCATTTTCATGTAAATTTATGTTTATATGAAAATAAATTATTATTATTATTATTATAAACTACGTTGCAACTGAAGTATATCAACGTGTAGTGCGCGAGAAGAACATAATTGTGTATAATATACCGGATAATGCACAGATCAACAAGGTCAAAAACACTCTTTTAAATGCATGCTCTATGAATAACGTCCCATGCAGCTGCCATCGACTAAAAAAGTCTCAGAAGAACAAATCTTGCCCACTTGTGTTGAAATTTGACTCGTCCTCCAATGCTGACATCTTTTACAGTAGGCAAACCCTACTAAAAAATACGCGTTACCACACGATCAAGTTAGCTCGTGACAAAACGCCGATCCAAAGAATGACTTATATGACCGATGCTAAAACTGTGAATCCCAAATCCTCTACAACACCCCTGAGCACCCACAATTCCGTAGAGGCAGAGCAAAAGGGTGTGAACCTTTCTGTACAAAGCACATCGTATTCGGAAACGAACTTCCGTGGAAATATAAGATCCAAAAATGGATCGATGTATAACCACAGACTAAGAAGGAAATCCACCGTGGATCTAGACTCCTCTGATAACGATCCCTGTACCCCGGTGACAAACTGCGGTACATCACACCCAGTATTCCCCAATCCAAGCAGCCTCAATTCCAGGAAGTTGAAAAGCGGGGCTACCAGTTCGTCCACAAAGACAGTGCATAATAAGAGACTATTGCCACACACTAATTCAGATACTCACAGTTTGATAACACACCTCTCTCCAGAACCAAATACTCACAAAGCCGAAAGGGTTATAAACCGTAAAACGCAGCCCGAACCTCGTAGCTACTTGTCCAAAAAAGTAAACCCTCCCACCACTTTAAACCGAAAGATTGATACACCTAACTATAGGACGTCGAATAGTGGTGAAGTAAATCGCAAAAATTCGAGTCAGTTTAGCTTGCTTGGTAGGCCACCTCCACCTATTTACATGCCCATACTCAACGGGACTGACCATCCAACGATCAGCAATTTCGCTGAAACGACATTACCATTTTTTATTCAGGTTCACAACATGACCTCAAACATACTACAAATGCTCACCACTCTCCACAGGTTTCGCCCCCCAATATAGATATGACAGCTCATACAGCAATGCCTAATTACTGCCTAGAGCTCACTTTACATGACTCAGACAATTCTCTTCTTCGTCAAAAACCCTCTATATCCTTTTCTTCTGATAGCCAATCTTCTTTACATCCGAACTTACTTGAACTCGGAAATACAACTGACCCTCTCTGGACTTCTAGCTTTCCTAGGGCATCTACAGACATAGATATTTCATTGTCGTCTGAGGACACTATGATTGAATCTCATCACCAGCTACTTCAAGACATGGCTAAAATCTTAAGATATGACTCGGTTAATCCTAACATAGTCCTTATTAATGCCAGGTCAGCTGTAAACAAAATGGCGTACGTCCAATCCCTACTACTGATTAGCCAACCTACAGCACTAATGATCACTGAAGCTTGGTGCACAAGTGAAATAAATGATGATTTCTTTCACTGCGAAGGTTACTCATTTTTCAGGAAGAACAGATCAGTTGGGAGGGGTGGAGGATGCATTATCTATGTTAAATCTGACTGCAGAGCTGTGCACTATGATGACCCCAACCTGGATATATGTGATACATTATGGGTGACACTCTACATAAATAAACAGCAAACCCTATTATTAGGTTGCATTTATCGCCCACCCAACCACGACAGTGAACTGCTAAGCCAGATAACTGCAGCCTTCCATTACACTTCGAAATTGAACTTTACTTATAAAGTGATTGGAGGTGATTTCAATATGCCAGAAGTTTCATGGGAGCCCATCAGTGCTCCTCCCCGCTACAGCAAATTCTTAGATGCAGTTGATTTATGTGGGTGGACACAAAGTATTCTAAGGCCCACCCGAAACCAAAATATACTGGACTTGGTTTTCTTGAAAGACATCGCCTTATCTACCATAGACATCAGCCGACCATTCCCTGGTAGTGACCACAACACAGTAATCTGCGCCCTTGATACCAAGCTTCACTCATCAAAACGCTCTACCCTGCGCAAGACATTCATGTGCTTCGGAAAAGCTAGGTGGGACGTATCTAACTCCTTCATTAGAAGCTTAGACTGGGATCTTTTCTTTTCTAATAGCAACCTAGACACTGTCCTACTAGCCTTTTACCAGAATGTATCTATTTGCTTTGATAATCTCGTTCCTAAATGTAAAGAAAACCCAAGAGAAAACATAAAGAATTTCATTCCTATAAAAGTAAAGGCTAAGCTGCGAAAGCTGTACCGACAGTACCACAGAGAAAACGACTTCTCATGCCTTCTAAATATACAGAACATTTATCTAGCTTTGAAAGAAAATAACGACAAAGCCCTACTCAGACAAGAACATGCAGCTCTTAAAGATAGCTCTAAATACACTGCAATCTGTAGGCTTTATCGCAAAAGGCTAAACTCCCGTAAAACGGATATACAATTCATTTTAGAAAATGGCGAAACCACTAGTGACTCTAAAATAATTTGTGAGCTTCTAAACTCCCATTTCTCACAGTCATATACCTATGATGATAATACGTTGCCACAACCTCTATTCCCTGTACGTTCACAAAAAACCTTAGAAATTATCAGCTTTTCTTTAGATAATATTAAGAAAGCAATCACTTCTCTTAAAAGTTCAAACAACCCAGGTCCTGATATGGTTCCCTCAACTTTTTTAAAATACGGTGGTGAAGACATTCCTATTCTCCTTCTTAAATTGTTCTCTACCTCTCTATCAACTGGAACATATCCAGATGCATGGAAAACCACGCACATTACCCCTAGGTATAAGTCAGGCTCCCGTTCAAGTGTCATGAGTTACAGACCCATTAACCTAACTTCTGTTATTTCAAGGGTTCTGGAAAAGATCGTGAAAAGTGCCATTTTTGACTTCCTCTCTCAAGAGAAACTTATCACTCCTTATCAACACGGTTTCATGAAGTCACGTTCTTGTACGACATGCCACTTACAATTTTTCGACCACATCTCACAACTTAAAGATTCCAGTATGATCACAGTTATCGTATACTTAGATCTTAGTAAAGCCTTTGACACTGTAAGCCACCGACTGTTAATATCAAAAGTCCAGTCCTATGGGATACAGGGTTCATTGTTAAGCTGGCTCAGTTCGTTTCTAAGCAACCGGATGCAGATGGTCAGGTTAGGTTCCCACACATCCAACCCCGTTCGGATAACAAGTGGAGTTATACAAGGTAGTGTCCTAGGTCCACTGCTATTCCTGTTATATTTCAATGACATTTGCGACGTTATTAAACATGGCAGACCTTTCCTATTCGCCGATGACATCAAAATAGTGTATCACTCACTCAGAAATGAAGTGTCATGTGTATTTAGTAGGATTCAAGATGATATTGAGAGCGTCCAATTATGGTGTAACACATGGAAAATGAAGTTTAACGTTGAAAAATGTGGTGTGCTATGCTCCAAAAGCATTTCATCTGAACTTTCCATCTCCCTACACAACAAACATATTCCTCGTCTGCCGCTTACAACAGACTTGGGTCTGAAATACACTCCAGAATTTAGCCTGGCTGAATACGTTAAATTACAAGTATCAAAGGTCAAAAGGCTCTTTGGATTTTTATTCCGAAACTTTAAGACCAGTGAATCCAAAATAATGCTGTACAAGTTGTGCGTAAGGCCCTTACTTGAATTTTGTCCCCCTATCATGGACAGTGTCTCCGTAAAAGACAGATGCAAATTAGAAAGTCTACAAAGGGCGTTTACTAAACGTCTAGTAGGTGATAATCTTTGCATCTCTTACTATGACAGATGTAATCTATTCGACTTGGAACCCTTATGGGTTAGACGACTGAAGTTCAACCTAAAAATTACATTTAGGATTGCCAAAGGGCTTATATATTTCCCCCACAATGACTTTACTTTCAGTTCACCTAAGAAATATAACCTGAGAAATAAATCTTCTTCTTTTAAAGTTCCCCGCTGTCATACAAAATACAGATCAAACTCTTTCACTGTGAGATACCGTTGCATTTGGAACCGTCTTCCAACTGAAATTAGAGACAGTCCTACCCCAAAAACTTTCTCATCTTTGCTGAACAAATATTTCATTAACAACGGGTTAGAAGGGGTATGTGACAAACTAAAAATTAGAGATCTAATACGGCACTCCTCTGATCCTCACTGTTAGCTCCTGAAATCTGTAAACCCTATGTGTGACAGTCACTTTCACTATGATTGCTTTCACAACCCTAGACACCTATTCTTAATCAGCCTTAAATTTTAAACTTTTTTTTAATTTCCTTCAAATATTTTTGCATATATCCCTGATAATATTGTATTATGAGTATTTCAGTATGCTAAGGTTCAATCTCAAATTCCAGATGCAAATCAACTGAAGACGACTGGTATTAAAATATCTCCAGAGCCTGCCTAGTGCTATACGTCTAGCTCTACGCAAATTAAGGCCAAAATGGTAGTTGTCTAAATATTCAAATAAACGGTGAATTTTCTTATCCTATTATTCTATAACTATAATCTTCTCTGTTCAACTTTTCTTGAACAACATATTATAACTTATCACTGGTTATTTGCTCAATGCTGCACGATTACTCCCTGATTTTCTAAACTACATTTGTTTATATCTAAAATGAATCTTATCTTACTATTCTATTACTATAATCCTGTATGTTCAAATTTTCTAGAACAACATATTATAACTTACCACTGCTTATTTGCTCAATGCTGCACGATTACTCCCTGATTTTCTAAACTACATTTGTTTATATCTAAAATGAATCTTATCTTACTATTCTATTACTATAATCCTGTATGTTCAAATTTTCTAGAACAACATATTATAACTTATCACTGGTTATTTGCTCAATGCTGCACGATTACTCCCTGATTTTCTAAACTACATTTGTTTATATCTAAAATGAATCTTATCTTACTATTCTATTACTATAATCCTGTATGTTCAAATTTTCTAGAACAACATATTATAACTTATCACTGCTTATTTGCTCAATGCTGCACGATTACTCCCTGATTTTCTAAACTACATTTGTTTATATCTAAAATGAATCTTATCTTACTATTCTATTACTATAATCCTGTATGTTCAAATTTTCTAGAACAACATATTATAACTTAATATTATAACTTACCACTGCTTATTTGCTCAATGCTGCACGATTATTCCCTGATTTTCTAAACTACATTTGTTTATATCTAAAATGAATCTTATCTTACTATTCTATTACTATAATCCTGTATGTTCAAATTTTCTAGAACAACATATTATAACTTATCACTGCTTATTTCCTCAATGCTGCACGATTGTTCCCCGATTTTCTAAACTACATTTGTTTATATCTAAAATGAAGTCTCAGATAGCCTTTCTTTCTTACATTTTTCGTCTTCAAAATGCTGTAAAAGATGAAACATACATGATGTTCTTCTGAAAGTAGTCATTCATACCATAAGTTTGAGTAAGTCGACGAATAAATAGCTGGACAAACAAAAAGTTTGTGGCATTTTGCAACAGAAATTTAAAAAAAATAAATAATTTTAAAAAAATGAAGCATTCCGACAGGGCCTTGCACAAAATAGGTGGGAGGGTGGTGACTGCTAGTCAGCGGATATGATGGTGGGGACATATGTGAACCACCCTTATCTGTGGGACAGCACTCTATTGCTATGGCTCCTGAGTTCGGATGGCTTCTTCAAAATGAGAATAAACAAAAACTAAAAATATAAAAAAAATAATGAAAAAAGAAATATTAGTTGAAAATTGCCTAGAGCCGAAGTTTAGACGCAAACTCCCGAATGAAAGTAAATGGTATGAGTCCGCTACTTCAGAAGGACACCGAACTGTATACTTCAGAAAAACATACATTACTAGGCCCTCGCTTTTCTTTTACATAGCTCACGCACTCTGACTTTTGTGTTTTACTCCTTTTAAACCTCGTAAGTAGGTGAAATTATCACCTGTCTTTCACTTTAAACTAATTGTTCGCAGAAGAGACTGTAAAATATCGGGAAAATAATATTTCCTGAAAAAAAAACAATAAAAAACGATAAACCCCATGCCTGTTACATATTTTGAATTATTAACACCTTTTAAATGCTGAAGGTGCAGATCTGCACCTGTCTGCTGGTTTTCTTGTGTCTTCTTCTCTTTTCAAACATACTGCTTTCTCTACTTATTCGTGATATTGCTAGCTCATCTGGTGAATAACGGGATCATCGGTATTATAAAATCTGCTGACAAGTTCAAAGTGGGTCTCATAAACAACTGGAAATGTCACAAATATGAAGTACTTACGGGTAAATTTAAAGTTTAATAGACTTTAAAGCTCTTTCTGAATGATTTACTGATAGTTATTGTTTATTCTGCATCTCTTATGTAATACGTCAGCACCTGTACAGAAATGCCACTTACCTTCCTCAACTAACGCAACCATTCATGGTTCCCGCGTGAAATTGACATGTATTTTTTTTTCAATCACAGTTTAGATTTGACGCTATATCTATTTCCTTATTTGTACACTTCATTTTAAATGTTTCTCTCACATTTACCAGTATTCAACTTATTTCTAAATTAACAAATCATATTATATATTCTATAAGTTTTCATAAATGTACATATGTTCATGCCTGTAAAAATGGCTGGTTTCTGTTACAGAAATAAAAATTATTATTATTATTATTAAATGTATCACACAGTGAAACAGTATTGTATACTGGATGACGTTTCGAACACAATTTATTGTTCATAATCATATCAATTTTTGTCACACGACTTCGAGATTTGATTTTTATAGTTTTCTCTGTCTTCTCCTATTTGTTGTATGGGCAGTAGAATTTTCCATATATCTGGGACAGGTGTTGAATCATTCCTATTACATGTATATGCAGTTGATTCGATAAACAAAGCTTCTGTTATCAATCTCTCACTATGCCCTGTGACATTAGATTTTAAAACTGTCATCCTATCCCATCCTATTGTATGGTTGTGTGTAACTGCATGTAGTGCTGTAGCTGAACTACTCTCTAGATTTCTTATCTTATTCGGGTCAACCAATCTAGATTTAGCAAGGTTTTTATGTTCGGCTAGTCTGACCGCCCCTGTTCTACTAGTTTGACCTATGTATTTGACCTCACAATCATTGCAGGGTATTAGATAAACTAAATTGTTTTGTTTTAATGGCTCTACAGGATCCTTTAACCGACAAAGCTTGTTTCTAATTGAGCTTGTGGGTTTGAATGCCACTTTTATTCCTGCCTTGTTAAGAATTCTGCGTAAGGCTTCCGAGGTTCCTTCTTTGTATGGAATTATTGTTGATGATTTACATTCCTTATTGTTGGTGTCGTTATTATTATTATTATCACTATTATTATTACCATTATTATTATTGTTATTATTATTATTGTTATCATTATTATTATTATCACTATCTCTGTTATCATTATTTATTTTATTTTTACATTTACTTACATATTTCTTGACTAATTTATCCGGTAATTATTAAGTTTCAAGGCTTCTTTTATGTATGTCACTTCCTGTCTTAGATTTTCCTTGGTACTACTTAGTTTTTGTGCTCTGTCATTTAAAAATTTCACTAATCCTATTTTACTGACATAGGATGGGATGATCGGAAATCCAAATATCTGTTTGAATGTGTGGGTTTTCTGTAAACACTAGTGTTTAGATTGCCATCTTCTTTCCTTTTTACGTTGCAATCCAACATTGGAACGTACCAGGAAATATGAACGGTGATTATCCAAAGTCGCGCCAACTGTCCAAATCCGTTTAAATACTGATGTTGTTCCTGCAGAAACTGTCAGCCACGTCTCATAAACCGTTAATGCCCAGCTCTTGCTACCCTAGGACTCACGCTGTCGCTTGAAGTTTCTCAGAAACGCTTAGTAATAACGAACGAAAAAACCAAAACATCAATTGGCGACTCGAGGATTCTTTATTGTGACACCAACATATAAACACTGTCACAACTAAGGTCTGTGAACAAATATTACAATTGTCAATGGAGTTGAAGATTGTTTGCTTAAAATCAACTTCCCCAATTTTCGCGGAGGCATCAATACGACAGTCATCGTCTCATCGGTCGCTGTTCAGAAAGAAGAGTGAAACATCGTCAGAAGTAATACAATGATTTATTATTGTAATATTTGTTTTCAGACCTTAGTTCGCTTATTCTTTTTATATGTTGGTGTAACAATAAACAAATATCAAGCGGCAGATCGGTGTTTTGGTTTTTTCGTCCGTTATAACTAAGCGTTTCTGAAATCTTCAAGGAACAGCGTGAGTCCCAGGGTAGCAAGAGCTAGGCATTAACGGTTTATGAGACGTGGCTGACAGTTTCTGACGGCAGAAACAGATTCTGGCGGATTCAAACAGTTGGTGAAAGTTTGGATAGCCACCGTTCATCTTTCCTGGTGCCAGTCAAGTCCACTTTGAACTAGCAATATCTGGAACGTTTCAGGAATTGGGTCAAGTTCAACAATGCCTGGGTCAAAGAAGGGACAGAGTGTCTTGGATGCAAACAGGAAAGTAAGTCATGGTGACTTGTCTGTTAATTGTAACGATGTGTCTGATGTTAAACACGACATGGTTGATGTTACTGTTTCGCCGTTCAGGGATAATAGGAACATCAAACTCCCTAAATTTGAACCACGGTGTTTTGATGGAAACCCGGCTGATTATTTACAATTTGTAAAGGAGTTTGAGATCATGTTGAGTGGTTTTTTATTAAATAAGGAATTGAAGTTAATGTGTTTGATGAGATATTGCACTGGAGATGCTTCAAGAGCTATACAGTGCTGTAAGTTTATGAAGCCAAAAGAGGGCTACTACGAGGCTATGAGCATATTACGTCAAAGGTTTGGAAGACCTTCGATGATTGCAGGGAAATTATTCGAGGCTGTTAAGGGTAATGGTGGTCAATTACAGGATGACTCCCAGGCACTCACTGAGTTTTTAGATAATTTGCTAATTTACAAGAATGGAATGATTTCGATGAATCGTATGAGTGACCTCAACTCCAGTTTTATACTAGAAGTAATATCAAGACGTCTAACTACTCGACTGCAAAGGAAGTGGGTGAAGATAAGCTCCCGTATGGAGGATGAGGGTATCGAGCCAAGGTTTGATGATACCCTGAAAATAGTAAAAGATAGCGTCAATCTATCTATGAGCAAGTTTTCCAGTCTATTAGATCTCACCCCTAGAATAGAGCAGTCTGAGGGTAAAACGCACTCATTGGTGACGAATAAGCCTCAGAGAGGTGGATATCGAGAAGACTCCACGATGTCTAGTAATGCATATAGACCTAGTGAGTGTAACAGGTTTCGTAGTACATCCTCAACAGATAAGTTACAAGATGCAAGACAAACACGGTTGTGTTTCACACGTGTGCAAGAGGTGCATACAGAAGTGAACTGTGAACCGGTGAGCAAGTTCAGTGATAAGCTAAATGTAAACTCCAGGTCTGACTCCGAATTGTGTGACGATAACGGTGCGGTGAAGAAGTCTGTAGTTGCAACTGGTAAGCCGTTGTTGAATAGAGTGTCACAGAATAGAGTAACTGCTTCAGAGTGCAGTTCTGACTCCACAAGCTTACAAGGTATTACTAGTCAGAGTGAAGATATAGAACCTTAAATGATTTGTGAGGAGGAACCAAATTTGTCAACTTCTGTTATTAAAGAGTTTGATAATGATGAAGTCGACC